CAATCACCTCAATTTCAGGTTCTCAGAGAACCTGACAGTGTCTCAGTTTTGAAATGGAGATCCCGTGACTCACCTGCCTCTCAGGATAGTTTGACACTAAACTGTGCAGTGTCAATGTTACAGCATACAAAATAAGAGATGTGCTTTATTTTTGGTCTTTTTGTCTGCCTCAAGGATACACATTTTGCAACCACAAAATATTCCAACTCCAACTCATTTTTCGAATAAGCAGCTTCTGTTCACTTCTCTTATCATTCGGGTTTCCACACTGTTGAGAAACAAAAAAGCCACATAGTTTGTTTACTCCTACAGTTAAATGTATTTTAAAAAGTAAGAATATGAAATAAAGTGTTGCTTGTCATTGCTGCTTTCTGGGAGGCAGGGAGAAAACAGGGTGTGTTAGGCTTTCCATTGTGTGCACACTTTCCACACCCCCTCAGTGCCCATCAGGAAAATATGTCTGTCCCGTGATCTATTCAGTTCTTGACCTTTTGACTAATATGCCAACAAAAGGCGCCATTTATTAGTGGTTAATATATGGATCTTTGTCCATATGGATCTGGATCAAGGCTGTCACTGCTCTGCCTCACCCCATTAGATTTTCCATTTGCCCTTGGGATGTGCTCTGGGCTACACAAACAGACCCTGCCTCGTTGGCCCCCAGTGCCCAGAGGCCATTGGGAACATGACTGGGGCAGGTGGACTTCAGGATCAGCCAGAATCTTCTGAGACATTCATCCCCTTCCAGCTAAAATCTCGGGACACTGCTGTGTGTCTTACAGATACATTCTCCACTGTCCATCTCTATCATCACACCGTGTTCTTCCTGTGCCTTTGTCTGGACTCCTTGCTTGCTTGCTTGTTGTTGCTGTTGTTGTTACCAGGATTGAACTCATGGTCTTCACACTAAGTTACATTCTCAGCTCTTTTAAAAATATATATATTTTTTTGCTCCGAATGCCTTCAGGGTAGGTTTGGTTGGCTTGAGTTCTGGGGATCAAACCACAGCAACCTGAGCCTGACTGCTTTGTGGAAGCAGCCACTTAAAGAACTGAGCTAAGGGGCAGGCTCCTTGTTTTAAAAATATTTTGAGACAAGTTCTCACTATGTTGCTGAGTTGTCCAGGTGAGATTTGAACTGTACACCTCGAGCCTCAGGCTCCTGGCATTGTTGCTTTTTGTCCCGGCCCCTTCAAATTTTCTTCCTTAATCTTTTCCCATACCTATAACCAAGAGCAACACATACATACTTCCTTCTTTCTAAATTCAACTCAAACACCTTGTCCTCTTAAACAGCTCCCTGTGACAAAGCATGACCCTGTATCCTTCCTAACTACACCCCTTTTTTTCTCAGACCACCATGTCAATCTTTCAAAAAAGCCTGATTAATCCAGGCATGATGATGTACTCCTGTAATCCTAGCACTCAGGAGGCAAAGGCAAGAGGATTGTCTTAAGTTGGAGGCCAACCTGGGTTACACAGTGAGTTCAAAGCCAGGCTGAATGGCATAGTGGAACCCTGACTCCAAAAGAAAAGAAAAAGAAGTGCTCACTTTGGCAGCACATACACTAAAATTGGAATGATACAGAGATTAGCACGGCCCCTGAGCAAGGATGACACACAAATTCATGAATTGTTCCATATTTTTTGAGGATAGCAATGTGTAATATTAAAACCATGCTTGGTATACCTATCATTCTTAGCTTCTAAATGCATATTGTTTCTAATGTCATATCAATTATTGCTATACTCTCTTTCAAGTAAATGTTTGTTTTAAAAAGGTAATAAAAGAAAACAAGAGACAAGAAAAAAAAAAGTCATAGGATTGTCCTGCCACAATGTTATATATGGTTAGATTTCTAAATTTCTGTGTTAAAATATGTAACTGTTTTTTTCACATTCTATGGGGATTTAAAGTTTAGAATATCAATGATTGTTGGAAAATACCTGTTCCATGTTATATCTAAGGCATTTGATAATCAAACAGATACTGATGTTAAGCTAAACTGCCTCTGTTATAGGGTAATAATATCATTAAACTTCTCTTCTGGATGGTTAACAACTTAAGTATGCAGACCAAAAATTAGAGAAAAAGAAGGGCTACAAGGATAGCCAATATTTTGGCCCTAGCCCTTTAAGGTCAGTAAGGACTCAGGACATAAGAGAACCTGTACTGTAACATCCTGTAACTCATTGATGTCCCAGATTTTGTGTTCAAGGAGATTATGGGGCCACAGAGGAAAGTGATCAATGATGTAGAGTGTGCCTAAGGAGAGTCACCTAGAAAGAAAACATTCTCTCAATCTTTCACAGACAGCAAAATGGTCAAGCAATGGCCATGACTCATCCAGATGGCTGACACTGACAAGAAATCTACAAACTGTTATACATTGTTTCAGGATAAATCCTGAGGGGATTTGACTAATCTTGCCAGATACAAAAGTTACATTTTTTGTTATATAGGTTTTGCTTTAACTTGGTCTTAACCATCCAGCAGAAAAGTATAACCATGAGGTCTAAAAAGTAAAGCCATATTAATATGCTGAGCTGTAAAAGGCTCAAATCAACAACTTCTGACATTGCCAGTCCTATGGAAAACCCACTACTATTATAGAATATTGGACTATATTGTGTTATTTTGCTGAATTCAAGCACCTATAATATTTGAATGGCAATGGAACACCCATCTCTGATAAAACAAAAAAGGGGGATATAAATGAAGGACCATTTTGTAGTGAAAAAAAAATATATATATCTGTATATACAAAATAGGCTAGATATACAACTACTTTCTTTTAGTTCAATGAGAAGAAAGATTTGTAAGAATAGTGTTTAGACAAGATATCATGTCCGCATCTTGTACTCTGAATAACCACTAAGAAGACAACAATATGCAATGTATTAATTGTCCTACTAACCTGTTTTGAAACTGTTTCATTACTACTTCTTTCTCATTAAAATTAATAAAAAATGGGAAAAAATTTAAAAGCCGGTTTACTTAAATATATATATTTGTCTATGTTTTTGTTTTTTAAAAAAGCATATCTATCATTTTGCTTTAAAACAATGGGGGAAGACCTTTTTTTCAAAACTCTTATCTCTTATTTGTTTTATATTATTAATATTTTAAAGCCATATAAGTTTTTCATGAAAAATTTATACACTTCACCAATGTCTCACAATATATTTCTTTTTGCAAATTAGTAAGTGATGTGTCTGCTTACCTTCACCACCACCAATAGAAACTAATCAAGGCAGTTTTCTGTGTTTTAGAAGATGATGTCTCTCGGGGCTGGGGAGATGGCTCAGTAGAATAAGCACTTCCCTGGCAAGCTCCAGGGCCTGAGTTCAACCCCTGATTGTGGGAAAAAAAAAAAAGACAATGCCTCTATAAAAAGTTTCTGGAAAAATCAAGCAAAAGTACTGTTTGCTGTGATGTGTGCAGTTTTAAGTGTTACATTTATTCTGGGAAATCTGAAAGACTTACTGTAACCTTGGAGCGGGACAAGACCCAAGCCCTCTGCCTCCATCCCAACTTCACAGGCTCTATAATGCCCCTCTGTCCACAGTCATTCCACACTTGGTGCTGCAACTGCTCACATCTCCAATGACATCACTTCCGCCACAGCTGTGTGTCATTGTTGTTCTTTGTTTTATTGAAATGTCCCAAATAATTGAGGACACAATGTCTGGATACCATTTTAACCTGTAATATTTTTACATGCAGGGAAGATCAATATTTTAGGGTCACATTTAAAATGAAAAGAACGAAGTTATCCCTCCTGTGAGGGACCAAGTTTCCATGGTGCTCTGCTGGCCTTGAATCCACAGGCTGTGTGCACATCCTCACCCCTGGCCCCTCCCAGCCTTCCCTGCTGTCCTGTGCTCCTTTTTTCACAGATAAAGGGAGCAAGGGAATAACAATGACACACAGCTGTGGCGGAAGTGATGTCATTGGAGATGTGAGCAGATGCAGCACCAAGTGTGGAATGACTGTGGACAGAGGGGCACTAGAGAGCCCATGAAGTTGGGATGGAGGCAGAGGGGCTTGGGTTTTGTCCGGTCCTGAGGTTACAGTAATTCCTCCAGATTTTCCTAGACTTCCCCAGATCTCCAGGTGCAGTCAGGGATCTCTCATCCAAATGATTCGACACTGACTTTGCAGAGTAGCATAGAGGATCCTGGGTACAGGTCCCCGAGGTTTGCCAAGGTCACTGTAAGACTTCCCTTGTAGCGTCCAGGGGCAGCCACAGGGGGCAGGTCCGGGCTCAGGGAGGCTGGGCCTCTGCTGGGGTCTACAAGCACCCCACTGAGGCTGATCTGCCTCCCTGTGCTTGGAGAGCCTAGAAGTAGTAGCAGCACTAGCTCCCCGGGAAGCCGTTCCTAAGAACAGTCACGCAGATGTTCAGTGGTTGTTCTTGCATGGCCATGGCAGAGAGAACACTTTCCTTCCACTCCCGAGCCCCATCTGTAGCGCTGAGAAGAACTGCAGATAACCAAATGCTTGGATCACTGACAGGGTGAATGTTTACTATGTATTCAAAAACAGCAAAGACAGAGCGATGGGTTAAGTCTCTCACTTCAAAATATAGCCAATTTAAACTACCTGGGACCTGCTACCTGGTCTGACCACAAACTATTCCTTGTAAGTACACCAAGCTGTGCTCGTGGAGAGCTCCAGGCCCAAGAGAACACTCTGTGCAGTAGTCAGATGGAGAGGAGAACCCCTGCCTTGAAGTGTCTTGTAACTGAGATGAACCCGCTGTCGTGTACTCTGTTGTAAACTCTGTTTCTTCATTTTAGATTAATTTTCCTCGGTTCCATGCTGGGATTTGATATTTTTGTGTATTTGTCACCACTCCTAAGTCTCAGCAAGAGCATATAAAAATGTTAAACAATTGTGTCTCCTAACAAGCATTCAGAGAAAATGCCTAGACAGGTGTGCGGGGCTTTGGGAGAAATAGCAGAGAAATAACTGGCCTCTTTGTGTGTTTGCATGACTCAGTCAACTCCGGAGATGGCATCGACTACAGCCAGCAGAAGAGGGAGAACATCGGGGACTTGATCCAGGAGACGCTGGAAGCCTTAGAGACCTACGGAGGGGAGGATGCCTTTATCAACATCAAGTACATGGTGCCCACCTACGAGTCGTGCTTGCTGAACTGACAGGGAGCAGCTGCACTAAGAGGAGGCTTCCCTTGGTGCCGTAGTCATCTGTCCCTGCTGCTTCCAGCATCTCATTACTTGTGACTTCTACAGCTTTCTTTCTACAGCTGCTAGAATGGTGGCTTGTGGGCCATTGGACTGTTAGCCCTTTTGAGAGCATGGCTTTCCGATACATAAATAGTGCCTGTTTCTTAGATTACAATAGTGTACTGTGCTTATTTGTTCTACAAGAAGAATTGCTTCTTTATGCAGCTCGGTTGGAGGCAAGAGTCCGAGTTAAACCTTCAGTTGTATAGACAATAAAACTATAATTTTCGTACGCAATTCAGCAATTGCTGTGCTGTGTCTGCCTGCCCTGAGGGTGATGTCAGAGGCTGTAAGGGAAGAGTTTGTGCTGACTGCTTAATAGGTGTTTGTCATGGAAGAGAAGCATCAGTTCAGCAGTGCTTCTCTAGCAGCTGTGCGGAATAATGTGCTTTGACATTCAATAAAACTGTTGAATCTATATTCCAATTACAGCGGGAAATTTTTGTAGCCTGTTATAACCTGAGCTATAAATGTAATTAATGCTCCTAGCCTACCAGTGATCTGGGCTTTAGGACCTCTCTGGTTCCTATTTGGGTGCAGGTGGGGAGGCTAGGAAAGGATGGGATCAAGGTGTGGTATGAAATGTAACTTTACAAATGTGGCTTTAAATGAAAAGCTAGCTTGAATCCTTGTCCTGCCATATTATGACCTACCCCATCCCAGGACATGGTGTGTTACTGAGAAAATGTTACCCAGCAGTTTGTTTAAAGCTTTCATCACTCTTGCAAATGGCTCGTGTACAGCTCAATGATGACCCCAGCCAAAAATCCTCACTGGCAGCTCTCCTACCCCCTTGCTTCCTCTCAGTAACTGGACGGTTCTCATGGCACCACTCACTAAGTCTGGTGGCAAGTAGTACCTTAGAATTTTATTGAGACTGAAAAAAAGACAAAAGATGTACATTTTTTCACTGAAAAGAAATAGGTGCTCAAAAAGAAGAGCAACTGTAAGACACACAGGCTTCCAACAGCTGCTCAGGCATGCCAGGCCAGGAGCTCGGGGCACTTGAAACACAGCCCGGAAAACTTCATAAAGACAGAGTACTGACTTTGCACACCTGAGAGATGCTATAAATGCTCAGAAATCTGTAGCCTCAAGTATCTCATTTCCATAGCAAAGTGCAATTTCTGCTTAAATGTGAAGATGTGAATGCATTCCTCCATTTACTGTGTTCTGGCCTTGATGTTATTGTCACTAATTATTTAAGGCACTAATTTCTAAAGGCACAGCCCTATTTTGAACAATTTCAATATTCATTTTCTCTCATTACTGCCCGGCGTGTGAATTCTTTTGCTAGTTGCGACCATCTAGCTCCAGTAAGCACTTTCAGGTCCACTTGGAGGCATGATCAGGTAGGCCAAACAAGCTCCATGTAGAATATTTGGTAATGATGGAGCCGGACTAGACATCAGCAGATAAAGCTAGAGTTTCTCCAGAATCTGATGTCCCTTATCTTCATCTGGTGTGACCCTGGCGTTGGTGATAGGATCAAAGTTGATGCCGAAGTCCCTAATATCATTGGTGAGACTGATTTCTTTGGCACCTTCAGAAGCCTGTTCCAAAATGGCCCCCTCAGGGCTCTTCAGCACATGTGGAGATGGGCCTGCTCCATCGCTCTCCCTCACAAACACGCACACTGAGTGTGAAGCAGCAAGGTCAGCCAGGAGTCCTAACTCTGGCCTGGAGTCAAAGCACCAGGCTGTATTCACCAGTTCTGTCATGTATTAGCTGGGCCAGCTTGGGCAAGTTAACCTCTCTGAGCCTCATATATCCTCAGCTGTGGCTCAGCAATTACCCTGACCTGCAACACTGCTGCAAGTATCAGAGGTAAAGTGTGCAAAGTGCCAGCGTAGTTTCTGATACACATTGAACTTTTATGTCAAAGAGAAATAGCACCCTGACAAAGAAATAGGTATTAGAAGACACCAGCCATGTCTATTTAAGTTCCCACGAGCCAGGGGGTGTCTCTGGCTCCCTTACAAGGCCAGGTGAAAACACCCGGACTTTCACAGCCACCTGCCTTCTCAGAAGTCACCTCCATGGCACATCTCTGTAGCTTCCTCTGTCAGCACATGAATTTTATAGTCTGATTGTACAAGACAAACAGCAGGCTGAAGCATAGAGATTGAAAACTGTACAGTGGCTTTATGCTTAGAGAAATATCAAAATCAAGGATCTGCTAAACAAACAAGCAAGCCCTTGTGCCCTCTTGGGGTTTGCTCTGCGAAGGCCATGGGAGGTGTAGCTTAGAGAAGCAGAGATGGAGGAATTCTAAGTTGTCTCAACACCTACTGCACTTCTTACTTCTTTTGGCAATTTTGAAATGTTTGTCACTAGCTCTTTGCAAAGCAAAATCTAGGAAGTGCAAAGACAGGGTGCTATAGAAGCAACACACTAGCGAGACACCTTGAACACTTTCCAAGGACACAGTTCTGCTCTCCCGTGGGAGTTGACATGGAGTCAGGAAGGCTTAAATGCTTCTGAACCATTATGTTCTTGAAACATCCTCTTTTCTAGAAATTGGTGCATTCACCAAAACCAGTCCAAAATGGGACTATGCAAAGAAAACGTTTACCCTCAGCAAACACTTTCTATCCAAGCTCCCATTCTTCAGTCGAGTTGTATCCACTGCACCTCAAGTGGGAAGGCCCTCAGTGCTCAGCACACTGGCCCATGGGGCCATGATGGAGACGTAACAGGGTGATGAATGCTCTCCATGGTCCACCGTTTCCACCCCAACTTCCCATCAGGGAATGATGGATGCCCACAAAATACCCTAGCTTTTCCAGGCCCAGAAAAAGGGCTTTTCCAAGGATAGCAATGCTATGTCTTTCTTTTCTCTTTTTTTAAATTTTTTTTATTTTTTGTATTTAGGGCAGGGTCTCCAGGGTCTCACTACACAGATCAGGCTCATAGTGATTCTCCTGTTTTCAGTCTCCCAAGAACTGGGATTACAGTCACACGCCACCACGCCCAGTCTCAATCACCAGCTCAGGGCACCCTTGGGGTGGGGCCAGCATGGCAAGCTGAAGATTGAACCCCGGCCCCTACGACTGCCGAAGCAGGTGCTTTTATCCGCTAAGCTATCCAGTTAGCCCTTTTATTATTATTATTTTGTGTGTGTGTGACCAGGGCTGGCACAGCTTCTGGTGGTGGGATTGAACCACGGTCCCTGTGCACTTGCCTAAGCTTGCCTAAACAGGCACTTTAGACTGCTGAGCTATCTCGCCGGCCCCAACAACCCTATTTATTTATAATAACACATCTGAAGTGAGTAGTGCTTTCTATGTGCACTAGACCTGGCATTTCTTTGCTCTGAAAAGAACCTGAGGATAGTGTTCTCCCGTGTTCTGAGGCAGAATGGTCATTGCGAAATAGGTGCTACTACCCACAGTCCCAGGATTATTTTTAACCATGATGTTTTATCACAAAAGACACTCTGAACATCCTCTCTGCCCTACAGCAGGCCAAAAAAAAAAAAAACCCCAAAAAACAAAAAACAAACAAAAAAACCCCACCATATATACAAGTATATGTCTTGGTGTTAAATCTGATTCTAAAAATATCTCCCATCATCCAGTGCCTTTTGCAGTCTCAAGCAAATGCATGTTGGGTGGAAATGGGAAGCTCATGTTTGGCTCCGTGTCTCAGAAAACCTGACAATTGTTGGCCCCTCTGGCTCAGGGACTGTGGATAACACTAAAGAGGAATGAAGTGGCTGGAGAAAGAAATGTGCCCCAGTGTGATTCCCGAGTTGCCTTGCCCCTCATTTTCGCCAGTCTCAAGTCTCAGTGCCGATGTGGCCTGGTTCTGCTTGCAGGCTGGCAGTTAGCCAGCTCTTGTGTTGGTAGTTAGGGGCCTGGACAGATGCATGGTGGAGAGCGGTCTCTGCACACCGCCTCATTTGCATTCTCTGTTTCAAGGGTTGCTTTTTGCGTCTCCCAGGGGGAGTATTTTTAAGGTACTTGGGTTCTTGATTCATTTTAGTTTGCCAAGTTGCAGTAAGTTTAAATCTGGGTAAAAGGACTTGTTCTCTTCCTGTGCTTGATAAGCCTGAGAATTTATTACTTTAGCTTCTTTTTTATTTCAAAATTATTGAGAAATATTGCCTAGCCTTACCTTAGGAATCCATTGTAAACTATGCTCCTTCTACCCATATAAGTATACAGTACCCACGGAGCTTTGCCAGTCATTTCAAGCTATTTGCAGATGTTCCAATTCCAATCCATGTGTCAAAGGATCCAGGTCTGGGGCATCAAACCCACTAAGAAATGGCAGGGCTTCCACCAATGGACAGGGAGAGAGAATGTGCTCCCAATAAAGGCACAAGGAGACAGAGCTGAGTTAGCCTGTTGCTATGGAAAACTCATTAATGCTCAGAATGGCTGCTCCTCCTTGCTCTCTTGGTTCCCTTTCCGATTCAGCATTGCAGGACCCAGGCTCCAGCATCAGCCGTCTCTCTCTACTTTCTCCACTCTTTACTTTTGCTCTAGGCTGTCCTATCCAATCGTTCATCTTCACCTACCATCTCATTACTACTGATTCTCCAATTTAATCTCAGGTACCAGCTGCCCACTGGACGCTTCCCTCAGGATGTCTCAGATGTCCTTCAAGCCAGGTGTATGAGACCTGATCCCCTGACCCCCATCATGGTCTGCTCTGCCTCCAGCCCCCCGTAATGCTGCAGCCCAACAGCAGGTATCCAGCTAACTGCAGGCTCAACTCAGAAGTGCAGAAGCATTCCTGACTCCCCCTTTGTTATACCTCCACATCCAAACCCTTGCAAGCCTTGTGTACAAAGCTTTTTAAAGAGACCCACATTTGCCACCCTCT